GAAAGGCATCACTTTTTATAGATCCAAAGCAATTAGACGTTGTGGGAGACGTGAAACATTTTCCCTAGCGCACTTCCTTTTAACAAGGGTCCACTAATCGAGTTTATGGCTTCCACAATTTTCAGTCTTGTGTTAAATCTTCAGTGACACATTACAGTCCCATATCGTTCTTGGCGACATCGTGCAACCTCTTCTTTGGTATTACCTTGTTTCATTGGTAGTGTTTGGGTATATTCCAATGTACTCGATGGGTTTTCCCTTTATGTGACCGAACCAACGGAGCCTACTTTCGATCAGTTTTTCGGCAACTGGTACTAAGCATAGAACGTCTACTATGAAGCTTTTCATATCTTTTTTGCTTATATTGCATAACCGTCATAGCATTCGCATTTCTAAGGAGCTCAGCTGCTGCTGGTGTCTCTTCAGGATAGCCAAACATCCCGCTTCGCCCAAGCACCGACCTTACTATCCTTCTGTTCACCTTCCCCTTTAGTCTGATGAGCATCTTCTTGCCGAACACACTTCGCTCCATTTAAGCCAAGCTTTCTTCAACCAATTTCGTTTCTCACAGTAGATTTCCACATTATCCTGCAGGATGGAACCAAAGAAGTCGAATTCTTGGGTGTGACGCAGCATGCTATGCGCTATTTCACTGATTCGGTGGCTTTCAATCTATCCTCCCCACTGAAATAGCCGTGGCAGACATGAATAACGATGGAAAACTTACTTGAAATATTTACACAGGACAAATTTTTGTTTTGATCTGTCCAGGTTTAGACTGAAATCGTCGATTAACGAATCGGCGAGTTCATTAAGTTCATTACCTGGCTGATGAATGCTAGAAACTCCAAGAGAAACACGGTAGGATCAAAACAACCATTTGTCAGGTGTAAACATTTCAAGTAAATCTGTAAATTTTACGTTGTTATGCATAGAGCTAAGCATTAGAAAGTTAATTAACTCTTCACTTTCAACGAAGTCGGTTTGAATCGTATGCGTAGGTAAAGCATAAAAATTGCTCCCACAATGGTTAGCAAATGAGATCTGTTTCTGAACTTAAACTGGAAAATATTTTACTCTTCAAAATGTCGGCCGGAAACTTTCCATAACTTTACTACAGTTACACTTCGACATTCGTCAAACATGCCGCATCAGACAACAAACAGAAAATATGTACTGTTGTGTACTTACATTCACCGGCTATCGGTTCCGAACCTAATTTAGCAGCTATATGTTTGTACAGAGATCTGCAAAACGACTTGAAGTTGTTCAAATAGGGCGTTCTTTCGAGACAGTTCCAAACAACGTCAATTCCCTGATCGATATCCGCCCACACCGTGTAATCGGTTTCGTCCTTGTAGCTCTTCAGCGCGTTGAAGTAGGTGACCGCCGGAATTATACCAGCTCTAGCCTAAACGGCAAAAAATATGAACGACACGAATGAAGATATAAACTCACCAAAGCAAAAATATCGTTGCATATGTTCAGTCGATCGACCGCGGAAAGTTGTTCATGACGGACGGCTTTGAGCAAGCTGTTGAGCATCGGTTCACTGTACTGCACGCGATAGAAACCCGTAAACCCGTAGTTCAGCTAAATAAAATACGTCTGTGGTTCGAGCCAACAACTGGGCCAAAAACGTCTTCAAAACTTGCCTTCACCCACTGGCCTTTCTTAAAGTTCAGCACTGGCATGAGAGCCTCTTTTGTCGAAACTAATATGTGCATAATATTGTCTCGGTTAGTAGAGGAGACCAGTGAAATCGGAATCTGCCATATGGGTTCGTTCTTATCTGAAATCAGGTACCAATGAGTCATGCGCAACTTTGGAAACGAAGAGCCGCAATTATAACCTTTTAAAACAGAATGGCAACGACACGCCGCAGTGAAGCGATTAAAGGGGAGTTTACCTGAACATAGAACGGGACTTCTGAATCTCTGAATTATCGAAACAATACTTCTTGCCTCACTGCGGAACTGGATCAAAAATTACCTTGTACCTAACGATACTATATTTCATGTTGACGCTGAATGCGAAAGTGGCGCAAACGACTATTAGTCAATTACAGATTCAAGTACTTTGAAATTCTGGCTTAATATGCTAGTCACTACAGGAATTGTGACGGATGAAACGATGTTATAACATGTGGCAATCCAGTTTGGCGGGAATTATATTCATTAATAAGTTAAACAGTAAGAAATGAAGAAAAACAAATGTCCTGTAGTGGAAACGAGTGCTAAGCAGAGGGCTGAAGAAAAGACAGAAGCAGTTATAAGCAGAAACCCAGGGCGCATTTATATCATTCAAGAACACACGATGGACATATCTACAGATCAGTTACGCAGGTTCAGATACAGTATATACACTGAGAAGCATGATCGACTTGCCAAACAAAATAAAACGTTAAGATATTTTTCGAATGGGCTATATGAAAGCGTGAAGAGTTCACAACAAACGCAAAAGACAGTGCACTCGATGACAGACTAACCTATTGATCCGTCATCCAGAAAACGACGTTGTTCTAGTTTCAATGGATTCTCTGACTCAACGTGAGTCATGCTCACCTAAAACGCACAACAGTAGTTGAAAAGCACAATTTAAAATACTCTATAGTATACCTGGACTACGGGGTATCCCATCCACTTGGTCCAATTTGACATCAATGCAGCGACATCGCGGCCCGACGCATCCGAAAGACATTGCCAAAAGTCTGCCGTACGTGCATTTTGGAATTGAAACTTTTTCAGGTATGTCTGTAAGCCCTTGCGGAACAACTAAATGAAAAAAATATACTCGTCAAGCAAACAAATTTTAAATACGAGAATTCAATTGGGCCCCGTGTGCTATAAGGCATAATGATACACTGCAACAACAAAAAGGTCGAAATTCCTCGTCGTTTACTCACCCATGCCATGGATAAAGACAGATTAAATAAGCGGCACAACACAGCCCTAATAAAGCTTTCCTTCAGCATGAGTGACATCATGGGCCAGCTAAAGGATTATGATATTATACATAACTTGACAAAACATACGTACATAAGATACAAAGGAGTGAGAATACAATCGCTACGCAAAGGCCCATTACTCGGCCAGGCTGTTAGAGGTGTAAAGCAGATCGTGAACTGAGATATCCGCTGTGGAGACTAACGAGAAACACGCACACTTCAAACATGAAACTCAGATAAGAAGCAGCACTGAGTACAGAAGTAAATAAGACACGAACTCCTGAAGAGCAGGGACATCGTCAGGAAGACTTGAATAAAGTGCCTGTAGAGAAACGGCGTAACGTGAATGAGAAGATAGATAAGTCGCACAATAATTTCGCAGAAACTGCGAATAATATGACAGTAATAAACTAACGAATCGATGAATCAAGAGGATCACCTTGTCTCCCAAGTAGTCGTGAAGCATACGAATGATGCTCGCTGATTTTGAATACGAAACAACGTCGAAGATGGTTTCCACCTCCTCGGGATCGTTTATGGTAACCTGAAATCGTTTGTCAGAGAAACACGCACGCACGCGACAACGAACACATCCAAAAACACTGACAGCAAAGACGCACCTCAATTGGATGACTGCTGTGCAACGAGTCGAGCTTCATCGCCCTGGCTGTTTCCAAGTTTACGAACTGCGTCCACGTGTCAAACTCCGGGTACGCTATGTTGACGAAATGATGCGACAGCCAGGTGGCAAAGCCTTCGTTCAGCCATAGGTCCGTCCACCATTCCTAGAGCAGAATCGCAACATGACCGCTCACGAGCCAAACAAACAATACGATGAAAATTGCATTCAGGCTAAAACTAT